CACGAGGCAGATGGATGTTCAGACAGATATTCCCGTGCTGAGGGTCCTCTCTTCTCCTCTCTTCATGAGCAATATCACAGTCTGATTTCTGTTGTATACGCTTTTAAACATGAGGGCAGATCTTGCTTCTGAGCATAGGCTAAAAGATCTGTATTTGCTTTGTGAACTGCTAAGTTCCAGGTGCATTAATTTCTCCTCGCCTCCCTGCCACTGCCACCTCCTGCCACCTTTGCCTCACTGGCAGCGTGGTGTGGACATTTGTGCTTTATCTGATGTGCTTTGGAGCTCATCACCTCGTAACTAAATCATTTATGAACCGCATCGCTTCTTTAATGCCTCTGTAACTTGACTCCTTTCCTCTGCAGCGCACTTTTAATTGTGCCGCAAATGCCATTCCAAGTAGGCTTTATATTGCTCATGGAGCTCATGTCGTGTTATCGCTTGCACTTTGTTAAGACAAGGTCTGATTTCTTTCTCTCTTCTCTCTGTCTCTTTTTTTTTTTTTTCCTTTGTTTGCTTTCCAGGTATTAGTTAATATTGGCAACCATTTTGATCTTGCTTCCAGTATATTTGTAGCGCCAAGGAAAGGGATATATAGTTTCAGTTTCCACGTGGTCAAGGTCTATAACAGACAAACCATCCAGGTGGGTTGTGATCTAGCTGTCTTGGTGCTTTTTCAAATACTCATCTCTACTTCCCTCCTCCCCCCTCACTTCCCACCCTCCATTTATAAACCCAGCAGATAAAGAATAAGGCAGTGGATTATTTTAGATAAAAGGTTCTGCATGCATGACAAAAGTCATGCATTGCCTTCGCTTAGCTCATCTCTAACCTGTGTCAAAGTTTAATGGAGTGCACAGAGCAAGGAAATCACTGAGGCTATTGACAAAACTCAGATTCTCTTTCTTTGCGCTTTCTAGGTAAGTTTAATGCAAAACGGCTACCCAGTGATTTCAGCTTTTGCAGGGGATCAGGACGTCACCAGAGAAGCAGCCAGCAACGGGGTCTTGCTCCTCATGGAAAGAGAAGACAAAGTGCATCTCAAACTGGAAAGGGGTAACCTCATGGGCGGGTGGAAATATTCAACCTTTTCTGGCTTCTTAGTCTTTCCACTATAAAAGAAGGCCAAATAGGAGACAGATTGATGAGCTGGTACAAGAATTCAGTTAACAACACCCTGAACTTTGCAGCACACGACAATATTTCCAGTCACCCCGTCAGACTGTCACAGTAGAAGAATGATGACCTTCTAAACTCCAACATTTGCTTTGAATATTGACAATTCCTTGGGAACCTGCGCCTCTAATTAGTTTTAGACGACAGTGATCTTTAGGAGAAATGAAATTATCGACCTGAGCAATTTGTACCTGTGATTGTAAAGTCAATTTCGGATTTTATTGGTGGGATCATTGACTTTCTTCTTTTTTATTATTTTTTTTTCCTCTTGTTCATTTTTTCCCCTCTTCTTTCTCTTCTTGTTCCAATGAGACAAATTACTCGGACCATGCAATTGCTTTGTCAAAGGCTCACTCCAGAGCCAGAAGAATGAATTGTTGAGCCCAATGAGATGTTCTTTCCATGCTTTATTTCTTTGTGTTGTATAGCCTTAAGGGAAAAAAAAAAAAAAGAAAAAAAAAA